GGGGTATTCTAGCCCATCATGTATACGAGGGTAGGCAACAATTTGACAATGTGTCTGATTTGAAGCGTCAAATTGCTTCGTCATGGAAAATGATAGGTACTGACTACTTGAAGACGCTTATGGACAACATGCCAACGCGTTTGGCTCAAGTCGTTTTGAAAAATGGTGGTAGAATCGACTATTAGCGTAGTGCGCATATAAATATTTCACGAAATATACTCCGGAATTTCTAGTATCATTTCTATCTGGATATGCAACAAAGGTAGCATGTGCCGAGAAGTTGGAATACAGTAGGATACATGATAGAACAGTCGACCTGGGGCATCGACCAAGTCAGTAGTTAGCATGCCTTATGATATCGAGACAAGCGCCCCAGAATTACTGAACAAGGCGCGGATCGGCTCAAAATGGTCCAAATTGGCCCATCAATGCGGATTGTAGGATGGGAGCGCCACAACTTCGTTACTTTGAAATATTTCTTATGTGGCTTGTTTGCTGGACCTCAGTTGGATACAACTGGCTAACTACTGTATCAAAACCATGTTCACTTTGTACATGCGTCCTCTGTACCGGAGTACCTAAAACAAGACGTTTCAGAATCTGAAACAGTCATAACGATATTGACTCGCAAGTAAGCTCAAACGACGGGGAAGTATCATGGACATCCAACTTGCCTAAAATTAGCCCAACTTGGACAGTGGACATTTATCTTGGAGTTAGAATGCAAGCGTTTGCACTGTACAGTGTACTGTACATACAGCGTTGCGGAAGGCAGGAGCGCATCGAATCGACACTTGGAGGACCTCTCGTTTAGGTATCATTTGCAGTGCTGCAGTGTTCGAGCCGAAACCATCTATTTCATCCGTTGAAGGACAATTAGCACGCAATATATTTAGGATTTTCTGGCCTCGGAAGGAATTTCGTGCTTTTGACGATCAACACGGAAGTCGGCTAAAGACAGCTCTAGACAGCTAAAGAATGAACATATTGGAGAAGTTAAGGCATCTCAAAAACTATGTGTCCTTTAAAAACTTGGACCGGACCGCAGTACTGGGAAAGACAGAATGCAACGCCCACCGAAGATTTATGTGATATACGTCGGATACTATCCAATCATATTTTATTATTGAAATACCACAGCATCATTGGCGGAATTTTTATGTTCGCCCCGCAGGGTATACTATGCGACTTGTAATTTAATTTCATTTGAAGTGATTAAAATTAGTCAAAGGCACTGTGATACGCTAAAATAACCATCGAACTTCGAAGCTCTCTGGCCAACCAGAATTCAGAATTTCATGCGACATCGAAGACAAGGTGGGGTTGCATTCTGTCTTTCCCAGTAGTTTGGGGTGAAAATTTGCTCCAGACAAAAGTGGCAGCATCTCCGTCTTGGACATGGACTGCTGCGGGCTCCAGTTGAAAGTGGGAGCCAACCAGGCTGGAGGCTTTGCCCAGTCAGCAACAGGACAATTCGTCGCCTCTGCTACTAATCTACGAGTTTGCTTCACATACGAGTGAATAGCAGCAGGCACTTACAACATACTTGAATTAAATCGCGGATTGACAAGTGCTCAAGATAGGCCAAGACCTTTTTGGCATTGCGAGGCTTGTCAAACAAGTCTTACATTGTTTGCTCCGCGCGTTCGAGTTTCGACCCTATCGTAGATTATCGCTTTTGAGGGCGTTCGACGCGAACGAACGACTTGTCTGGGCGGCGACCATTGACATACGGACGAGCTAGTTATGATGTGAGTTGAACATTTCCAGAATTACCCACCGTACATGTCCCATGAGCGACGTGGACGAGCTCCTCCAGTGCTTTCAGGAGCTTGGCACGTTGTCTTGAAATTGTTCCGGTATATTGAGACCGTTCTTGCTAGAGGAATTAGTCTTGGTGCAATGTTCGCACCAATGGATGGAGTGGAGTGCAAAGGGGAAGGGAGTGGCAACTAGAAGTTTTTAGCATTGGTGGAGAAGTCGATCTTACTGACCAGCATGTCCAAATGAGTAGTCGCTATTGCTTTCGCTACCTATTCCTCCACATAAGTTTTTGCAAGGCTATGCATTGTGTTGCCCGTAGATACCAATCCAAAATGGTAGACATTGCAAACCCAGCAACTACGACAAGACGGATGAAAAATGTGTGAACAGCGATAACTAACCGTGCGCCGAGGTTGAAATGGAAGCCCAAGTTACCCACATCACATCGTTCGCCGGGCTAGTTGCTTTGAATTCAGTGGCAACTTTTTGAGTGAGTGGGAAGTCTTCGAGGAGGTTTTCTGACAACTATGTTGCCCGACAAACTTGTGAACAATGCCCAAGGCGCAGTGCTGGATCTGGCGCCGGGATCGGGCGCAGTACACGTGGTAAGTTGTGCCCCTTGAACCAGACTCGCTGGTGATGTTGCCGACGACGACTATGTCTACAACACCAAGGTTCTTCATAATGTCGAATTTGGTTTCTTATACTTACCTTGATCGGAATCGTGTGTAATATGGGGTTGGGATGCGTTATTGGGGGGTGCGGGATGGTGCTAGGATGACTGGGGCTGCTGGTGGGGGTGTACCTCTGAGCATTGGCGGCTTGCGATGGAGTACTTTGAGGAAGATCGATTACCTCACGATGTGGCAACGATTGCCACTCGAGGTACAATCGCCTCCACTGAATTCATTCGTCTGGATCGTCTGCGGGGAAGTTCTTCAGCCAGTCGCGTACATGCAAACATGGCTGGCCCCCTCCGTACAGTTGGGAAGCCCATCGCTCCAAAGTTGAGCTTTGAGAGCCTCCGGTTGGCGGCGACGTTGGCCCAAAAAATCATGACTAACTCAGGTTGCCCTCGGCGTCTTGGATGCATGTGGGGGTAACGAGGAAGATTGCCAGTGACTACTGTCAACTACGACAGTTTTTAGTCTTAACAGATTTTATATGAGCTGAAGTATTCTCCACGATATGGATAAAAAAGTTACAGAGAGCAGAAAGGGAGATGAATTATTTTTATTCAGTTTTTTTCTGGATACAAATACGAAGTATTATGCCACCCAAATGGTGCCTCCTGAACAACATCCCCCAAAGTCACTTCACTTTTTAAAATATTTTCAAAATATTTCTCGAAATTTAATTCTTGCATACTGATATTGAGTAGAGTTGCCAAAACATAACACAAATATTTTTTACTATTTTCCCTTTTCCGACGCTTTCTTCCAGCACCGAACTTTACCTCCGAGGTTTGAACGCAATTGGTGCACACGTGAAGCATTGGACTTCGTAGAAGGTGAAAACGTACTTTACGATGCTCCAATCGCGCCTTTGGCCTCACGCTATGCAAACGCAATCTAGGCAATGGGCTAGCATGTTGTGCTGTGCCCTGGGAAACTGTATTAATTACCTGCCCACTCCGCGTCAAAGCATGTCCGATCTCGCTTTCGACGAACATAGTGCGCATGTATTCGCCGTGGACATGCTGTTCAGCAAACAAAATGCCCGTCTGCACAATTGCTCTGTGTGCCCCTCAACAATGAACAACCTCGCGAGACAATACATGGATGAGACCATACATGCGTCGTCTCGCGCGTATCATGACTTTGTATTTCAGTATGGACATGATACCGAGTGCTTCCATGTGGAGGCACTCAAGATCCTTGTCGTCAACCTCCCGCCACCACCGCACGGAGTCGATGCTACCATGTTCTGGACCTTCCTCCTGGAGTGGAATTCGAAACTATGAACAGGTAAAGGAATTGTACGCTCTGCTTCGTTGGCAAAGTGACAACAATTGGGTGTGCCTAAGTTGCGTGAAAACAAGTGAATCCACTCACACGACGTCATGGTCTTCTTTTCAAAGCCGAAGTATGATGGACGTTGCATTCGACGCCGACTGGCTTTTGGAAGAGTGCAGCGACCCTACCTTAACCCCTTGGTCGGACCCAACCGTATCATTTCCGATGGATCTCGACGCGCAACGCGAAAGTCGATCCAGACGTGAGTTTGACGAGTTCAGCGCACTGACTCAGCGGAGTTCAAAGCAAAGCAGTTGGTTCGAACCCAATGCGAATGCGTTGGTGTGTTTGTCGAGATCCCTGCAGATTTTGGTCATGGCCACTAGTTTATGGCGTGTTTTGTGCGAAATAAATATCCATGCCATCTTATATGCGCTCAAACACGGCTTGTCCTAGAATGCTCTCTTTCGACGACAAGTTTCATGGATTTATCCGTATCGGGAAAGAAACGTTCTTTGACATGGATTTGGTGAACGTCATATCTTGCAACCTCATTCAGGGTGCTACCCCCTCTCGGGTACCTTTCGCGTGCTCGAAGGCTTGCACGCGTCTCGACACAGCAAGTTGTGTAGCCGTAAAATCTTCGTTCAAGGGTGCTGGCATAATTTGCGTTCACTACACGTCGATCTCGTTCGGTCCTTCACTTGTCCGCACTGCGGACACTCGACACAGCGCCGATTGCCATCGCAGATGGCAACATAAAAATTGCTTGTCGCAGAGAGTACATACACTACTCCCAGGCACTCGTTCCTATGACCAACACCAACCACTAATCGAAACATAGAATGCAATTTGCTCTTGATTCGACGAAATGAATGCTTGGGAGTTCCAATTGAAGGCGTGTATTCATACCAGAAGTTCCAGACGGAAGGCTATGCTCCATTTCTGCCGCTCACGAACTCACCAGTGTGACTACCACTCCAAACATGTAGCCCTGCAGCTGCAAAGTCATTGTTGGTCCAACTGGGAATGCATTTCCCTTTGTTGAGTCTGTAGTTAGAGAGCTCCTTGCCCTAAGGCCGTGGCCTGATGCATTTTGTCCAGAATCCTGGCGACTGTTCATATCAAATCTAGGACGTCAGTCACCTGTGCAAGGCGGGCTCATTCGGGACACGAATGCCATGCGACATCTTCTCACAGCTTTGAGTCAGCTCGACAGTCGGATACATGCCCTGCTCGAAGGGAAAGCCAAGACACTGATGCAGTTACAGCGCTGCATGCCTTCCCTTGGCTGCTGTGCTGAGGGAGTCCAACATGGATTTCGAGCCATTTCACAAACTTTGGCCAATGTGAGCCCAGTAATGTTCCGTCTCGCCGTGGAATTTTGTACTATTAACAGTTTGGCGGCCCAGACCCTCCCTTGAAGCGCGTGCATGAAGACGAATTGCACGAATGGTATCCCGTCGCCCCTGTTCGCCGTTTATTTGCAGCTTAGGACGATCACAACATAGTAAAGGATAAAGTTTGCACAAAGTCAGCCCCGTTGTCGCGATTCAAACTCCCAGGAATTTTCCACTCTTTTTGTCCGCACGGCTTGTGCTTGGGTTCTCGATATTGCATGACCACGATCCCCCAACACACCATATCACATTTTGTTCCGGAGATGGCGGAGAACCGATGCAATGCGCATTGTCGAAATGGAGAACGCTTGCGACCTTCACACCTACTGCTTGAAGCGCGAACCTTGGTGTTTCCACAAGGTGTCGTTCCTCATTGACCGCCTTCACTACAAGAACCATGTCAACTGCTCATCTGACTATCGTATTGACAATTTCCCTTTCCTGCACGACCTTCGCACAGTTGCTTATGAAATCGTCAAAGCTACACCAAAATCGGTGACACGACAAGCTGGCTTCATGGGAGCGGATCGGCTTTTGCTCTTTACGAAGCACTACATCAAATCAGTCAACCAAAGACGTGTCAAGCGTGTACAACATGAAATGCAACTAGCCGGATTGAAACGCGAAGTGTGGAAATCCATGAATGTATTGATTCAACGGATGCAAGTGGTCATGTTAGAGGAAATCGAAGCGCCTTGCACAACGAGCAACCCTTGCGTATTCTGTCTCTGACCTAGCACACATCATGCGTGTAACAACCATGGACATTTACTTTTACATTAGAAGTTGCTATATACTTTTGCATTAGAAGCTGCTCTGCTTAAAGATGATTGATAATTTGCGAACTGCGCCAGCAAGAGGTGAAACACAATCACGTGCCGCCCTCCACGCCCATCATATCTAATCTCTCCTTCGAACACGACGACCAGTAGGTCATATCTCGCAACTTGTTCCCCAGACCAAGGGAGCGAACAAACTTGGAGTGCGACTGCCATCGCAAGCCCAATCGATCCCACGAACCAATGTGCAACACTTGCAATGCCACAAAGTTAAAGAACGCATTATTTGCCACACCAACCGCAACGGCAGCGATTTTTCCAATGGCTTAACTGCCATGCCCGCACATAACCCCACGGTTAAAACCGCCGAAGTGATCGATCAAGCTACTTACTGGATCGTCCTTCTTGCCACTGCCACCGCCAATGTCCATTTCACTCTATAGAATCTAATCTCATAAGTTTCGAACGTATGACTTACACAGCGAAGCGGGTTTCTTACCTTCAGTGTTCGGGTGACCGCAGCTAGGCACTGCGCAACTTAGGAAGTTTGAGAAGGCGAGTTTGATATATGAGACAATCGAACTATTCAAGGAAGACTCGCAAACCGTGCCGAGCACACTCAAAGCGGTCATACGCGCAGTTAGATGCTTGACGTTGAACTTCATCGGCACGGACGCACCGAACACATAACAAACGTGAGCTTGATTTATCCATGAATAGACAATCGTACAGGTAACGACGGAAAAATTTCCCAGTGGTACGTCACCATATTTTCGTAATTTTGAATTTTGTCGCACTATTCAATCTGCAAGAAGAAATTGTAGTATATTTAGCCAATGGATGACAAATACTTCTACGACCTAGTACATGATATCATACATGGTTTATCTTGGATATACTATCAAATCAATGCATGAAAATGCTCACTTTATCCTCGTTGAAACGATACTAGTATGTCGCAATAATACAATGTAATCAGACTATGTCATGCAAACCGTCCTACTTTGGAACATTCAATACTACTACAACTTCTCAAACAATAAGAATAATAGCTCACGACGTAGAGCTCCCGCTCGAAGCCCGTGTAGTAATGGGTTCATTCCATGACCTGGATGCATGTTATGCCGTATAGTCAGTGTGCATTGAAATCTCAGCATGTCCGTTGTGGTATCCTATTGGGCCTTACTTAACGCGAGGTCACAATAAACTATTGTTCACTGACGTTCAACATAT